CTGCACCACCATACTTGGTACTCTTTCCCTTCAAACACACTCATCCTATGGTTCTTGCTGTCTTTTTTTTTTCTTTTGGTTTTTTGAGACAGGGTCTCACTGTGCAGTTCAGGCTGCCTTAAACTCACTATGGAGCCCAGGGTGGGCTCAAACTCACAACAATTCTCCTGCCTCTGCCTCCTGAGTGCTGGGATTCCAGGCATGCACCACCATGCCTGGCTTTACTGCCTTCTGCAGCAGCTCTGGAGTCCTCTTTCATGAGTGTCTTTAGTTGCACTGTCTTGACTGCCTTGATGTCCTGAATTGATTCAAAACATTTCCCTTTTGTGATCATTTTGACTTTGGAGAAGAGCTAGAAGTCCACAGTGCCAGATCCGGTGATGAAGGTGGATGGCACAGGGTCACGTTTGTATGAGCTGCCTTTCTACTGGATGGTGCTCAGCAGTCTCTGTATTTTTGCTCACATCTCGTAAAGACGCTCAGGAAAGAAGACTCCAGAGCTGCTTCAGAAAGTGGCAAGAATGCCGGGATGAGTGTATTCAAAGCCGGGGGGAGGACTCTGAGGGGGATTCATGGTAACATGTCTTTTACTGTAATACTTGTTATTTACACATTCACCATATATTAACACCTAACTCTTTTTTTTTTTTTGGTTTTTCTCCAGTACCGGGAACCGAACTCATGACCTTGCGCTTGCCAGGCAGGCGCTTTTGCTGCTGAGCTAAATCCCCAGCCCCTATTAACACCTAACTCTTGATGACACCTTGTAAGTAGGAATGGCCTTTGAATTTTCACCAGCAACATCATGAGCTGCAACAGCTGAGAAACAGCATCAAAGTTCTGAAGGAACTCCTTTCAGATCAGGGGTTTTACCCAACCCAACTGCTTCCCATGAGGGAGAACAGAGACCCCACCTCACCCACACCAGAAGCTGCTACACGAAGAAAGCTGGACATTTGGGGTGGGTACGCTGAGGCCCCTGTCACCAATCCGATGGGAAGGGCCAGTTCTCTGGGGACAGAGCCATGGCTAGAAGCACCCGGCACCCAGGTGAAAATGTGCTGCTGCGGGGCTGCTGCGAGTGAGGGGAGAGTGCCCTGGGATAGGAGGTGCCAGTGGCAGGGCAGGGTGGTCTTGGAGGAAGGAAGCAGCTCCCCTGGGAGCAACGGTCCTGGCGGAGCAGGCCTGGCCGAAGCCTGGACTGTGCGAGAAGCTGGACGCCCTGCCTGGCCCAAGGAGGGGACAAGGGTCGGGGACGAGGTTCAGGGGTGAGGGCCACAGCTGGGGCGGGGCCACCATAGAAAGTGCAGGACACAGACAAGGCCAGCGGCGGCAGCTGCAGACAGTAACGGGGCCAGGCAGCTTCCATCAGAGCTGGCTGCAGTAGCAGCTGCCCACAACCAACTCATCCTCCAGTTCCTGGGTCTGGGGTGCACCCAGCTGTGCTTGGCACCCATGCCAGTACCCACACCAGTGTCCAAGCACCCTTGGTCCCAGACCCTGTCCCTCCCACAGGACAAGCAAGCCCCCCTGTAAGGGCTATCTGCCCTGCAGAGAGGGGCCAGAGGCCTGAGCCTATAGACCAGGGCTGTGCTTGCCTCAGTCCAAGAGGTGGAAAGGGTGCCGTTCAGCAGTGTCCCTGGATGCCATCAAGGCTACCACAGCGGAGTGAGGACAGCAGTGGGGGCTACGGAGGCCGCAGCTCAGGCGGGTGGGCAGGGTCTGGAGAGACGCAGCTCACAACTTCCTTGCCGCACCCCCTGAGAGACTCAGGAGGACAGGACTGGGTGCACAGAGTCCCCCCAGACCAGGGTGGGGATCACCGGCCCACACCACTCGCCTGGGCCCCTCTGGGCTGGGCGGGGCTCTCGGGGGCTGGGCCCTGGACTTGCTGGCTTCCGCCTGAAGCTTCATTAATTCCTGTCTGGTTTAACCTCCCTGCACCAATCCTGTCCTGCAGGATGAGGTGTTAGCTGCAGGCGCATGCTGTTAACACGGAGGGATCCTCCGAGAGCAAGCCAGACACAGCAGGCTCCTTCGTGCAGAGCCCGAGGGGGAGTGTCATGCAGGGCTCGGGAAGGTGCCTCCCTCAAGAGTCCTCCAGCCACGGGGATTTGGGCAAGAGGCAATCCTCCCCGGCTGAGAGCACCAGTGTTGGTATTTCAGCCTCAAGTGTTTGCCGCTGCCCGCTCAGCAGGGAGAAGGAGGATGCTGCCTGTGAGGGGCAGAGCCAGGGCCTGACAGCCAGCACGTCCCACTCAGTGCCCTGGCCCTGACTCCTGGGCCCAGCTTCCCACCTGGGTCCTCACTGCCTCAGCTGATTCTAGCTCAGAATACCTAAAGGACACCCCAAGAGATTCACCAGCACATCCACCGAGTAGGTAAGTGGCTGTCCCTTGGCTTCCTCTCTGGGGTATGATGCCGGACAGGGCAGCAGCAGCTACTTGGAGACTGTGAGAAGCAGGTTAAGCATGAAAGCTGCACCACAGACAAGGGTGGCACCTGCCACCACCAGGCCCCCAGCTGCACGGAGGAGCCACCTCAGGGTGCCGTTGCCTGGCTGCTTGATCCAAAAGCATCTCCCAGCCAGGTGTGGTGGTGCACGCCTGTAATCCCAACACTAGGGAGGCTGAGGCAGGAGGATCATTGTGAGTTCCAGACCAGCCTGGGTTACAAAGTGAGCTCGAGGCGGCCTGAACTACATAGCGAGACCCTGTCTCAAAAAGACCAAAAAACAAAAAACAACAACAACAAAAAACAAAAGCATCTCCCTCCCACACACCCTGGAGGTCCCCTCTGCACCCGTTGCTTCCTGTGGTCCAGTTCAGCCTGCAGCTCCACCATCACTGGCTTCGAGGACCTGACCTCACCTGGTCAGTGTCTCTGAGGGCAGGAAACCCCAGGGCCCCCTTGGGGACCCAGGCAGAGCAGGCAGGGCCAAGGTGCCTGTGGTCCTTTCCTGTCTTGCATGGCCTCATGGTCCCCAGGAATAGCTCAGTGTCCAACCACTAGGCAGCAAAGGAGCAGCCCTCAGTATGCCAAGGCCAGAGCCTAACAGGCTAACGGACCCTGGGGTCTGGGTCCCCAAATCCTGGCCACCTTCCCCCCCAGTGCAGCCCATGTGGAGCCCTGCTGCCTGAGTTCCTCCCAGGGCCCCCACAGCCTTGTGGGGGACACACAGCAGCACAAAGGTGGGCTGCAAGGCCTGGGTGGGAGCTAACGGTGCCCACGGGCAGGGCCAAAGGCACCCATCCAGGCCCAACCAGGCCCCTGTGCCCAGGATCCCAACCCCAGTCCGCAGGCTTGGCTCAGGCCCAGGCACCCCGGAGTCCCTGATACCATGTGTGCCTGGCCATTCCTTCCTCTACAGGGAGAGCCTGAAGGCAGAGAGTGACAGGAGCTCTGAGGTAAGGACTGGTCAAAGTCCCCCCCGCTACCTCCAGCATTGGCTCCGTAGGGTCTGAGTGCCCCCATGAGCCTCAGTGTGCTTTGGATGAGTCTCCTGGCTCTGGCTCTGGCTCTGTCTCTCTCCGCCTCTCTCTCTACCCCCTCTTCTCCTCTCAGAGCCCCCTCTGTTCCCCTCTGTCCTCTGTGGGCCCAGAGTCCAGTTCCCTCTTTCTCTGTTTCTGGCTGTCTTTTCTCTTCTGTCCTTGTCTCTCTGTGGCCTCCTCCGGCTGTCCGGTGTTAGGCTTGGTCTGTCTCCAGGCTCTGTCCACCTGTGACCTCTGTCTAGGCTCTGCCCCTTCCCCATCTGATGCACACACAGTGGGAACACCAAAACAGACACCCACAGGTGAGAGGAACCTGGAGCTCCAGACCTGGTGGTGGCGCCCACCCAGAGCAGGGGACGGAATCTCTATCACAGCGTGTGCCCAGGGCAAGCACGTCCCACACCCCATGTGCCACAGCCCCACCCACCCCAGCCACCCTCCTGCGGCTCCCAGGGCACCCACGAATCCCGCCCTGTCGCCGCCACAGGAGAAACTTTGGGCTGACATGGAACAAAGCGGGAACCCAGGATGGCAATTACCCAGCTAATTTCAGCCGTGTAGACAGGCAAATCAGATATTCTGGTTTCCTCAAAGCCCACTTCAGGGCCTGAATTAGCCACCTAATTAATTATCTGGAACAGCCTGGGACTGGTGGCGTAGAACAGGGTCCCAGCCAGTGCAGGGTGCTGGCCTGTCACATTGTGGTGACGTCACCAGCCTCCTCAGAGCCAGCAGCCTCCTCTCGACCAGGGCGTGAGGGGGACAGTGGTCAGAATTCCTCTGGCTTAAGGGAGGTGCAGACATCTCCCCAGCGCTGTGTGGCCCCCACCCTCTCCCTCTGGTATGTGCTCCTGTCCGAGTCCCCCCACCCCATCCTTCACAGAGCCTGGGACCCACTCTAGCTGGGGACCATTGGGACAGGTGTCTCACAGGAGCTCTGGGTGCCCCAGGTGGCAGCTCTGGGGTCTGAGACCTACCCAGGACAGTGCCAAGGCACCAGGGGTGAGCTGACCTGACACCCCTGCTTGACGCCTGTGCCACCAGGTGCCAGCCCTTCTGCCAGGACCTCTGCTCTTCCCCAGGAATTCAGGTCACTGTCCCCTGCCAGCTCCAGTCCTAGGCCATTTTTGGCCAGGAGGATGGCCCTGGGACAGGTAGAGATAGGACCCCACATCCAGTAGCTGTCCCAGGCCACACCGGTTCGTGTTCCAACACACACAGAAGAGCCTGCTTGCCTCCCACAAGGTTCAGAGTCGCACACTGCTGTCCTCAGAGCACACTTCCCATCCTATGTCCAACCAGCCCTGGCTCCCGGGGACTGCGCTGTCCTCACCCAGGTGAGTCTTGGCCAAAGGTCACAGCTGGCTCTGTCCCTCCCTGTCCCACTCTGCTGCTGCCGTGGCTCCCCACCACAGTGCTGGCCAGTTTGGACATGGGCACCTCCCCTGACCTCTGGTCGCCAGTACTGGGCACTGCCAGGTGGGTGCCTTGCCTGCCCAGCCCTCCTACCTCCCAGGGCCTGTTTCATCACGAACTCCATGACGATGGCTTGGTTCCTCAGTGATCACTGGGTCAGACCTCACATAGGAGGAGGCGGAGTCCCTGCGGGGAGAGTACAGGGTCAGGGCCTCCCCCAGATCCTCTGTGTCCCCTGGTCCTTCCAGGGCCTCTGCTGTCGGGCTTTGGTCCTCACACCCAGCCCAGGATGGATAGCTCCTGCCCAGACGGCCCTGTGAGTTCCCTGCCAGCTCTAAGCTGCTACTGGGGGTCTCAACTGGATCTCAACTGGGGCTCCATAGAGGAGCCTGGCACCAGCCTGCAGGGAGTGGGGGCAGGGCCCAGGGCGTTTGAAGGTCAATGCTCAGAGCAGCCGGCCCTGGCCACTGGCCTCCTGGGTGGTCCTGGCCACATGCGGGGCAGGGCTCTGTTTACAGGATGGGAGGGGAGGTTGGCAGGTCCCAGGCCCTTTCTGTGGCAGCTGACAGTCTCCAGAGGCTGGGCTGTGTCCCCGGGTGACTCCAGTGACCCCCATGGACCTCATCACAGGACTGGGGTGGAGGAGAATGGAGCGAACAGAGGGAAATGGAGGGGTCCAGCCCCCAGGGCAGGGGGGGACGTTAGGAGTGGGTTGCCCCTAGGGCGATTCTGTGAGGGCCTCCTGAAAGGTCACAGCGCTGCAGTGCCCCTGCCCAGAGGGGTGTCACCTGGCAGGGAAGCCTGGGTCCCAGGGGACCCACTGTCTCACAGTTGTCCCTGGGCAGCCAAGGAGACCCCCTTAGGATCTCGGGTGGGTGGGAGGGACCCCAGATCCTGGTTGCAGGGCCTTTGCCGCAAAGCTATTCTCTTCCAAACTTCACCCCGGCTGGGGGAGGGGACCCGAGAGGCTCTACCAGGACCCTGCGCTCTGCAGGCAGGCAGGGTGTGGGCCGGTGGCCTCGGGGTGTCCTGAGCGGGGCGGGAGGGATGGGGACAGGGACGGAAGGGCGCCCGGACCGAGAGGGCGAGGGACTGCGGGGCGGCTTCAGCACCGCGCGGCGGACAGCGCCCGCTCCGTGCGGCGGGCGGACCGCCGGGAAAGGAGTCCGGGACCCCGGGGTCCGGGTGCGCAGCGCGGGGCCAGGGTCGACCAGGGGCCGGGGCATGTGGAGGCACGGGGGCGCTGGGGGCGCTGGGCGCCTGAGGGGACAGGAGCTGGGGGG